CCCCCCCCCTCCCTCACTCCAGCCGTGACCTAACACAGTGTCTCTTCTTGTTATTGCAGGGGAGAGTGCGAGCTCGGCGGTCAGCGCCATCATCAGGAACCTGAAGGAAAGCGGAGAGGTACGTATGGGCAGTCAGGTACTATTTGTCCCCTCCCCCTTCGTGTCCTCTATACCTCTTACGACCCCCTCCTTCCCCTCGACATGTTTGCCCCCTTCCTACACGTCTCGTCTGAAGCTCCATGAAGCTTCATCATGATCTTCGACCAGGGCAGCGCCCCGTGGCAGTCGAGGCCCTTCAACTTGAATCATGCCCGCCTTGTTCACGCGGACTCGACGTTGGCCGCTAGACGGGCTGAACTTGACAGCGAGGGGTTCGCGTTGCGAGCCGACATCTGCATGGGGCCCCGAGGGAGGGAGAGGGAGGAGGAAGGGGGGCAGTCATGCCCGGAGACGCCCGGTTAACAATGTGGTGCAGCGTCGCGCCTGGCGTCCCCGCGGGGTGGCGTAGAGGCGGGGCGGGGCGGTCACGGCGGCACGGCGTGGTGTCGCGGTGCGGCGCCGACGATGGCTGGAATGGGATGAAAAGCGGTGGGTCCGCCTCGGTCGCCGACCACACTTTAGAAATTATATTTCTCGGTTTTACGGGGAAAATGTCCACTAAAAATCTGTTGCAAAGTCACAAACTTCAAATTGTAAAATCCGCTGGACGCTATAGTGCCAAGAGTCCGAAGTCGATGCATCACACTTCAATTCAACGGTCTACACAAGCACAAGGGAGTGAACCAATCGTAAAGTTTTTACAACAACGTTCAATCGTAAATTTCAAAAAGAAAGATCGCAAAATTAAGAAAGAGATATTTCATAGCAGTGCGACTCCCTCCACCTTTCTGTTGCTGTTGCAGCAGCGGCGGGGCACAGAGGTGAAATGGGCGCCTCTGCTCGGGTCGGGCCGCAGCCAAGCGGGCCAAGCGCGCCGCCCGGCCGCGCAGTCTGGCTGCCTTTGCTGCCTTTTCATTTGGGCCCTGCCTGGCCCGGCCGGCGTCCCATTGTTTTGGGGGACGCCGCACGCCCCTGCCCGGCCGCTGCTTTGCGTTTGAACGCCTCTCCCTCTCCCCCTTCTCCCGGACCTCTTCTCCCCCCCC